CACACCCTAAAAAACCAACCCTTTCGCTGCCACCACCGTCCCACCTCTATCCTTCACAATCAGCCCTCCCGCTGAACGGAACAGGGGTCGACTCTGTCTCGTGAAAGGTTTATCTTATAAGAGCAACGCTCTATGATCCGACCCTTGTTCTGTGTGATGTTTCACTAAAGTCTCCAGAAAATGCTCCAACCAAGACTGGGAACATAACGCCCGATCAAGCCTTTCCCGAATACAGGCCTGCCCCATCCGCCTATTGGACCATGTGAACTGATCCCCCCTAGAAGTCCCAGTTCAGTCACAAAGTTTCTAAGGGCAGCGGAGCTGGCTGGTTTCCAAGGGTTCCCACCATCTTTCTCATTTCCAATCACTACATAGGGTAGCTGGATTTCTTCACACAAGATTTGGAGTTGGTTCAATTGCATTTCGCTGATAGTATCATTGCAACTAATATACACACCCACAACCACATACGAAAAATTATTCTCATTAATACGAACCGACACATGATAATTTGAATGACTCAACCACCCGACGCATTAACCGCGTCAACAAAAAAACAATTGGACAAATTGAAACCTAACCCGCGTATCCTACGGGAAACTACTCGACGACTCGATCTTGTTTCAGACAAGAAGACAAGATCAGGTTTATTGGAATGCAGAAGACCTAACGTAGTATGGAATGTGAGGGTTGGCCCAATCCCTCTCACATTCCAGGCCAACATCCTCATTTATCCGACGGGGGCCATTTATGGCTGGCTACCTCCACCTCTTCAGTCTCTTCCTCCACTTCTGTAAATTGTCTTTTGGGAGACGGATCCTCCTTCAACTCCCCTCCTGTTTCCTGAAAGCCTCGCTTTCTAGACCCCATCATCAGCTGCCCATCATTTGAGCCATACTCATTTATAGGTAGACTCCCCATCAAAGTCTCCTCTCTCATTTCCTCAACATCCATACAACCAATCTCAGCAGACTTTGTGAGCTTACCAGCCGCCTTAACTTCGAAGGCTTCGACATCACGCCTCACATGGCCCTTCTCTTGAATGATAGGCCCAGGACCCCTCTCTGTCCGGCTCTTCAACTCAAACTGGTGGCCATCAGCCTCCGGGTCTGGGCTGGAGTCATCACCATCCGACTCCTCCTTCTCGTACTCCTCCTCACCCTGCATCCTTACTTTCACCTACACCTTGCGTGATGGAAAGGTATGCGGAGAGGGAGACGATAAGAGGTCATCACAAGCCTCATCATACAAAGCACCAGACTGTTCCATCTCCGGTTCCTAGTGCTGCTCACTCTGTGCTCTCTCCATTGAACCTTTCTCTTTGCTCAGCTCAGGCATCGGGTCTTGGGTCATGTCCTTCCTCTGTGTGGGTATGCGCCCACTTCTTTCCTTGTTTCCCAAGCTACCAGACTCACACCCAGATTCCATCCGGTTTCCCTTTGATGGTCCTCCCTTAGTAGAAGGTCTCCACCTAGTCGCACCTTGACCTTCCAAACCACCCCTCCTTCTCACCTGGCGAGTAGGAGAAAAGTTTCTTCCCTCCCTACCCTTGGGCTACCTAGAAACCTGGACTGAATGATCCATCTCCTCTGGTCTCCTCTGCACCTTATGGATCATTGGCGGTTTAGCCATCACGAAGCCACGAGGGATTCTTCCTTCAGTCCTCCTTTCTTCCCTGTGTCTGCTCTGATAAGCCGGAACTCCTGTCTTCTCAACTCTCCTGTACGATTCTCCTGTCTGCCTCATAGGAGGGGCCTTCTCAATCTTCTCCTTCTACTTATTTGGCTGAGCATTTCTCCTTCCCGCAGCCTCCGGATTGATCCAGACTGAACTAGTGTTACCAAGGATGGGAACATTATCATCTTTTTCTCCATACAGTTTTCCCCAAGCTCCTTAGTCGTCATGTGTGGCCCAAAGCACTCCTTTCCTTGTGGTGGATCAAACTCACATGTCTGGAAGCGATGCCCCACACGTCCACACTTGAAGCAGAAGGTCGGTAGAAACTCGTACTTCAAGTTAATCCAGAAACAACCAGTTTCATCACTCAGAGCCATTATCTGGGAGCGAAGGGGCTTGGTGAAATCAATGATAGCCTTCACCTTAATGAAATTTTTCTTTTCAATATGGCAGGCATAAACCCCTGCATCAAGGACCCTACCAATGGCCGATTGGATCATCATCCTCCCAAACTTTGGGGTACAGCAGTCATCCTTAACTTCCCAGAGTTGGATATTGAATGGAGCAGTAGTCATGTCCTCATACATGCGAGCAGTGGCATTTTGGGTCCATTTCCTCACGTGGAGGACCTTATCCTTGATTATCCAAGGAGATTTCTGCAGAACCTAATTCCTACACGCTTCATTGGGGAGCACAAATACCATGAATTCTTGCTGTCCTTCCGCTACACGAACTAACCCCTGGCCTTGCCATGCCACATTAACTGCTTCCCGAATGGCAGTCATCGATGGCCTCTTATCTCCAAACATTCTGCCATCTTTTCAGTGTCGCATTACTAAAACACTCCCCAATACGGACAGTAGTGTATCCCACTACCATTACTAAATGCATCCCATTTAATTGATCATAATCTCGCCAAACCATACAATGAGGGTTATCAACATATATGGATTTACTATCACGGTGGCAATAATCCGATTCATTATCGATTATCTCAGTGGGCCTACACATCACCGGCAACCACTGTTTATTCTCAAAACCAGTAGCCACCAGTGGGGGCTCCACCGCCGGCAAACCCTTCACAAATCCCATTCTGGGTTGGGGATTTAGCCCCCCACTTTTTACCCCAGCACCCAGCCCGCAAGAGAGTCCGGGTTTACCTTTTCCAACTGCCAAGCCAACAGCCTTGTCAGCGTCTCTCCCGGTACAGCCCCTGTAACCAGAATCGGCACTTGCTACCACGACCGCTAGTCTGTGCACTCGACTAGGCATATTTTTTTGTAATTTTCGATCATTCTTATAATTTATGGTAGCAATTAAATATAATATCTTTATGATCACTTCTAACAATACTAAATAATTATTTTATAGTTCTATTTGGTAATATTTGAACTTATAATTCTCTTTATATTTAATTTCTACTAAAAAGGTTTTTTTTATGTCATGTCGTGTTTATACTTAATAAGGTCTAAAAAACATTAAATCCAACACAACCCACTTGTATATCATGTCATGTCCTTGCTCATACATATCCTTGTGAAATTTAGCTCCAACACGATTCATAATTTATTTGTGTTCGTGTCAATCTGATCCATGTATTTTATGTCTATACTCATACTCGTATGTGCTCTAATCATGTGGTGTCGTTCTAGCTCTAAGCTGGCCGGCGTGGTGCCCATGTACGCGCTCAACTCACCCATCCCATTTCCCATTCATGCTTCTATAACTTCCTGAAGAAATTGAAATAAATGAGAGCAGTGATATCATTGCTTACCGCATTTGACATATTTTAATATTAAAGAAAGAAACTAAATGCGGTTCCTGCTTGTCGGCCCAACTAGAATATATATATTTTTTTTTTTTTTTTACGGGAGCCCAACTAGAATATTAAGGGCAACTTATCTTCGGCCTCCTTACAAATCAGATTTTCAACATGTAATGGCCCAAACTGATAGCCGACAACTGGCAGGCTCTTCGGATGTAATGACTACTTATTAACTAATTTTTTTTTTAATTTTTAGTTAAATCTATTGAAATATTAAGAATTAGCCAAATATTTTGTAACACGTAAAAGTAATAACCATTAATTCATTTTTGTTGACTACTTTTTAACGGTGCTCCAACTCAGCGTCCAACTCAGCTGCCACCTCATCAATAAATAAAATAAAAATGGGTAAATATTAATTATCAACCAAACCTTTTGACGATGACGCCAGTTTTAATAGGCCCTGCAGTCAGAAAGAAAGTGGCACGTGGGGGCTAAAGTTTCAGGGTAGTAAAAAAACAATAACTTTGTCGGGTGAAATAAGAGAGCCACACATAAAATAGATCAATCAAAGTATAAGCCAACGATTTGTGCTGCATAAACAAAACGTGAAGCAAGTCAATTGATAACTAAAGTTAAAGTCCTAGGTAATTAACCAGAAAAAAAAGCAACGAATAATTGAATGGTGTGTTCCAAAGATTATAGCTGTTATTTATCCTAAGGGGTCGTTTGGAAGTTGCGATTGTTAAATAGATGTATTGTTGAGAATGCATGTATAATATTATACATGTATTGTCGAATTTGATGCATTGTAGAATACAACGTTTGGTATGTGTGATTGTGTATGTCGCATCAGCTAAAAGCTGAGACAAAACAATCTCAACTCAACTATCTCAACAATCACAACTAAAAGTTGAGATATAACAATCACTCAAAATGAGTGATAGTTTCTGTCACATCACAGAAACAATCCATGTATTGTTTCTGCTAAAAAAATAAAAAAACGATGCATTGTAAACAATACATGCATAATGACAATCTTAACAAAACAATCGCAACTTCCAAACGACCCTTAATTAAGGAAAAGAAAAAAGTTGACATATTATAGTCTACATGGAACTTGAGAACAGTTGGACAGATTTGACTGGAGCATGCATCTTCGATCTTTGACACACACAAAAAAAAAATCGCGTTCCCATATAATTTTTGTCGTTGAATAATGGTCAACCCTGACTGAGCCAAAAGAGTTGTGAATCGAAACTCAAATCAATCTCCGCCACTAGTGAGCGCAAAATAACAATTTGAAGGCGCCGAGCCGACCTCCACCCACCCGCTAGCTGCCGCTGCCTATAAAAAGCCCCCAACTCAATCGCTTCCCAATCACCTCGATCAGCACCATTACTTTCAATAGATAGAGAGAGAGAGAGTGCCAGAGCACCAATCAATCGTTTAGGTGGAAAGGATGGGGTCAATCAGCGGGCATGTAGATGCAGAGAAGCAGCAGCAGCAGCCCCATGCAGTTTGCATCCCGTACCCTGCACAAGGCCACATCAACCCCATGCTGAAGCTAGCGAAGCTCCTCCACCACCGCGGCTTCCACGTCACCTTCGTCAACACCGACTACAACCACAGCCGCCTCCTCAGAACCCGCGGCGACTTGGCCGGGCTCCCGTCGTTCCGGTTCGCCACCATCCCTGACGGCATGCCGCCGTCCGACACTGACGTCACCCAGGACATCCCGGCCCTCTGCGAGTCCACGCGCCGCACCTGCCTCCCCCACTTCAAGGGCCTCCTCGCCGACCTCAACCACACCGCGGGAGTGCCCCCGGTGAGCTGCATCGTCTCCGACGGGGTGATGAGCTTCACGCTCGACGCCGCCGCCGACTTGGGCATCCCTGAGGTGCTGTTTTGGACCACCAGCGCCTGTGGCTTCCTCGGCTACATGCATTACCGGGATTTGATCCAAACAGGCCTCACTCCTCTCAAAGGTACCTTCATTTCTACTCTCCCACAATCATTCCATTGGATGTACAGCGGGATATAATTATTTACCAAATCATTATCATGTGATATTTTTTGTTTTTTTTGTTTTACTATTGTGGATTTACAAAGTTTTTTAGGATAACGAAGCTAATTGAATTGGCACTCTTCATACAATAAACTAATTCTTAATATTCTGGGGTTAGACAACATTTTCTTTACTTCAAAGAATCACGTCTCTTTGTCATGTCATTTTTGTATTACTCACCTTGCTATGTTGCGTTATTCACGTAAGATTGTTGATTATTCATGTATCCAGTATTGTTTAGTCACACAATCTAGTGTTTACTAATGCATATTGTTTTTTATTCACGCCAGTGCAAAATTAAATTTTAAATTTTTAAATATATCAAAATCGATGTCATTGTGTAGATAATTATGATCAATGCAACACATTTTTATATATTAATTGAGAATCCAAATTTAATTCCATAAAATACAGTCAATACAAATTATTAGGGGAATGTGTTTACGTTACACTGTTACGTGAATAAGCATCAAATTTAATGAATGACCACAAAAATACGTGAATAAATTGGCATTAGGTGTTTTATCACCTAACCTAACGTGACAAGATATTTTTTCCTGATTGAATTAAAATTTGAATACAAGGTCTTTAAGTAAAGGAAATTATTTGTTTTATTAACTCGCATTATTGAAAGTAGTTTACTATACGGATTCATTACTTTGGTACCATTTAATTCCCATCGAAAAAGAATTTTGCAATACCAGAATAAAATTTCCTATAAAATTTTGCTCTACCCATAAAGAAATTTCATATTGAAAGAAACTTGACGCTGAATTCCTATTGAATTGGACAAATTTCTGATTCATCTTTGATCATTTCATAATAATTCCATTTCTTTCTTGACAGATGAGAGCTACTTGACAAATGGGTATCTCGACACGGTCATAGACTGGATTCCGGGGATGAAAAATATCCGATTACGAGATCTCCCCAGCTTCATCCGGACCACCAACCCGGCCGAGTTCATGCTGGAATTCGTGGTTCATGAAACAGAGAGAGCTCGAACCAAGAAACCCTCCGCCATAATTCTCAACACCTTCGACGCTCTAGAGCACGACGTCCTCGCCGCACTTTCCGCAATCCTGCCGCCGGTTTACTCCATCGGCTCCCTTTCCCTCCTTTCCCACAATCAGATCACCGATCCTGCCCTCAAGTCAATCTCATCCAGCCTCTGGAAAGAAGAAACAGAGTGCCTCAGATGGTTGGACGCCAAACAACCCAATTCCGTCCTGTACGTGAATTTCGGGAGCATAACCGTGATGACCAATTCGCAGCTGGTGGAATTCGCCTGGGGACTAGCCAACAGCAGGAAGCCATTCTTGTGGGTGATTAGACCGGACCTCGTCGCCGGAGAAACGGCAATGCTGCCGCCAGAGTTCGTCGCGGAGACGGGAAACAGAGGGCTTCTGGCGAAATGGTGCCCGCAGGAGGAGGTGCTGAATCATCCTTCGGTGGCCGGGTTTCTGACCCACAACGGGTGGAATTCGACGCTGGAGAGCATCTGCAGCGGAGTTCCGATGATCTGCTGGCCCTTCTTCGCAGAGCAGCAGACAAACTGCAAGTTCGCGTGCGATGAATGGGGGGTCGGGATGGAGATTGACAGCGATGTGAAGAGGGATGAAGTGGAGGGTTTGGTGAGGGAGTTGATGGAAGGAGGGAAGGGGGAAGAGATGAGGAGAAGGGCGGCGGAGTGGAAGACAATGGCGGTGGAGGCAACCACTGCTCCTTCTGGCTCGTCTGTTGCCAACTTGGATAAGCTGGTTCAAGCCCTGCTTTTGTCGCCTTGTCAGTAGCCGATTGTAGGGAATGATGATATCAAATTAATTATTTGTTTCAAGTTGCATTTTTATTTTATGATTTACATTAGCAAAATCCTAACCTTCCTCCTTGATCGTATTGCGGCGTGCTTGACCGCATTGGCCACATTCTCCTTTCTTACCATAGGGTACAGAAAGGTACACCAAAATATATACTTTCATTGGAGACAAAAGTGACATTCAAGCCAATTCAAAGAAGTCTCACATGATGAAAAAACTTTAAAGAACCACAACTCATCATTGCAATGTTATTACATTGCTGTTTTTTAGCTAGAAGAATTGAGTTGAAATCGAACTAATTGCAACTTGATTTTTTGAACAACGATTAAATTAATACAGTTCAAACCTCTTCAAATAAAGTTCGAATGGGGTGTTCGATGCTTTCATAACTTACGAAATAGATCTACATTAAATTATCCCTACTCCTATGGAGGTTCAGTGAGAGCTCCAGTTCTACGACTATGGCTAAAGGTTGTATAGGAAAGATAAAAGTTGACATTGGATTGTCTGTTGTGAATTTGGCAAACCATTTCTCTGTCAACTCCTCCTCCTATTTATAGCCACGAGGCAGTAACCGTCGTAGGAATTCCGTCCAGAGAATAACTTCCAAAAAGAACTGCTTTCATTCTTTCTCGGATGTGGCTGACATGCCCTTGAATGTGGAATAATCGACAGTTGCTCCGTTAACCGACTGCTCTCTCTTTTGGAACTAACGTCCTGGTGCTTGCCTCCCCTCTACCATTAGGGGTGGGCATTGGGTGGGTCGGGTGGATTTTGACCATAAAATGCACCCACCCGCGCTTAAACGAATTGATAATTTTTAACCCACCACCCACCCACATTTAGTCTCGGGTTAGGTCGGGCGGATGGTGGATGATGCGGGTGGGTTTGTGGGTTCACCCACATCACAATGTATATAATATAAAGGAGTCAACTTGACATGATAATAGGTGAAGAGAATCATCGAGGGTAACCATAAGTTGAAATAGGGCGAAAAATGTCGAATTAGTTCTTAAATTGGATAGAAATTCTATTATGAAGAGTTTTCTACAGATTGAGACGATTATTAGGTGCAAGGAACTAAGGAAAATAATTCCACAAAGGAAAGAGCGGTGATCTAGGCATAATAATTAGAGGAAAAAGTAAAGGGAAGAAGAGGGGACCTCTATTTGGAAGGTTGGCTTTGAGGTTCAAACTCCATGAGCAGTCCGAGTTTATATCTACGTCTCCACTCTTCTCTCTCTAGCGCCAACGACTTTGATTTTTTTGTTGTTGGGTTGAGCGGGTCACCCACGCACTCACCCACAACCCACCCACCACCCGGCGGATGGCTTCCAGTGCAACCCGTCACCCACCCACAGACCCACCCACTTAACGAAATTCGGGTCAAATGCGGATGGGTCGGCCCAACCCCGTGGATGATCCGGCCGCATGCCCAGCCCTATCTACCATTACCATTCCGGATCTCACGCTTAAGGATGTCTAGATCTCGTGGCCAACGCCTTCTAGATCTAGCGACCAACGAGGTCTAGATCTCACGACCTATGTGGTCTTCTCAGACCTCGCGACGAAGGTAGCTAGATCTCACGACCTAGATCTAGCTACTAAGGCTGTCTAGATCTCATGAAAAAATCGGTTTAGATCTCACGACCAACTTTGTCTAGATCTAGATCTCACGACGAAGGCATTCTTTTTCTCACGACCAACACGGTCTAGATCTAGTGATCAAGGCTATATAGATCTCGCGACGAAAGCTTTCTAGTTATCACGTCCAACGTGATCTAGATCTAGATCTCAAGACCAACATTGTCTAGATCTAGATCTCATGACGAAGGCCTTCTAAATCTCACCACCAACATGGTCTAAATCTAGTGACTAAGGCTCTCTAGATCTCACGCCCAATGTGTTCTAGATCTAGATCTCACAACGAAGGCCCTCTAGATCTAGCGACCAACGCTATCTAGATCTATATCTCACAACGAATCAAATTATTAAGATTAGTTAGTTTATGAAATGCAAATTGAAAACAAAGGTTGGTAAGGTGCAAAGCACTAGTGATATAAAAACTTAAAAAATGTGTCTAAATTGGGGAAATCGGTAAGTGATCGATCCTACCAAAATTAATGTGTCGGCTGCCAACCGTGGGGAGATCCCCCCCCCCTCCCCCCAAAATATAGATTAAATTGAATGTATATATCTATGCTAATTAATACATTTATGGAAACAAAATAAAAAATGTTATATAAAATAAATATATATGAAATTTTAAAAAATATATTTATGGTAATAAATAAATATAACTGAAAATTAAAAAGAGCGAATATTTGGATAATAAAAAATATATATGTATATTGAAATTTAAAATTATTAAAATTTTGTTAAATCTCTTATTTTTCCATTCAAAATTAATTTTAATATTGGTACAAGTTAAAGGTGTACGTTTGGACTGTTAAAGCCTAGTGTCAGTTGGTAAATGACAGCTCATACTTGTAATAATGATCAATCACCAACTACCCATATCCTTGCCACACCCCTTGATCAGAAACACATTCTAATTGATAGCTAGATACAGGAGGATAATATTTCCTTCCTTTCCTTGAGCACCGACAGCTGAATCCTTCCTGTATAAATCCATTGCACTTGTGTATATTGAGTAATGAAAAAGATAGAAACAAAACTCTTCTACATTTACTTACATGGTATCAGAGCTTGAGTAATTTTCATTTCCTTCTTCAATTCCAATTTCCACAAAAGCCCAAGGCTGCTCCACACTCCACTTGCAGCAGCTCACTATTTCCAATTCCTACTTCCTCACAATTTCAAGGCCACTGCACACTCCACTAGCAACAGCAGCTCACTATCTTCCAATTCCTACTCCCACAAAATTCCAAGGCCACTACCCACTCAATTGGCAGCAGCTCATCCTCAATATTGGCCCACGCACCAGAGTATACTAATTTTCTTGCCTCTGGGTAATCTTTCTTTTGTATGCAACCGCCGAAGATAGGCTCAATGGAGAATATCAAGTCCAACTCCATCTCTGTAAGATTCAATGGAAAGAACTTCGTTCTATGGGAATTCCAATTTCGTATTTATGTTGAAGGGAATGGACTCTCTGCACTCTTGGATGGAACTTCGCAAAGACCTACGCCTCCCACAACCAAGCTCGATGTTCTGAAATGGACGACCAGCAACGCTCAAGTCATGAGTTGGCTTCTCAATTCCATTGATCCAACCATAGCATTGGGATTGAGATCCTTCAAGACAGCACACCCCATGTGGCAGTACCTGTCTAAGACGTATGCTCATGCCGATGTTGCTCGTCAATTCCAGCCGGAGATCAAGCTTAGTCAGCTTTCCCAAGGAGATCCAGACATCCGTACCGATCATCAAGCGGCTCTCAATCTTTGGACTGAGCTTGATATGCTCACTGCCTCTCTTGCTTCAGCTGATATTTCTGTTGAAATATTGAAGGAGCGTTCCAAATCAAGAACTCTGCAATTTCTAATGCAGCTTCGGCCGGAATACGAACAGGTTCGCTCCACTCTCCTCAACAAAGCTGATCACACAATGGAGATGGTGCTAGGCGATCTTTTTAGAGCTGAAACTCGCTTGCAGACTCAAATCCGAATCGACCAGCAAAGCGCAGCTACTGAGATTGCATATTCTGTCTAGCGCCCCCAATTTCGTTCACGCAATCTTCAAGTCTCAGCAGCTCCCGTTGGTGTGCAATTTCCTAGGCCAATTCAGTGACATCACTACAATGAACCAGGCCTTTTTTCTACTCACTGCAAGAAACTCAACTATTGTGTTTACTGTAAGTCTTCTGGTCATATTATTTCTGAGTGCCGTCAAATTAAGAACTACCGAGAAAATTATCATGGGAAGTGGAGCTCCAGTTCTAGTTCCGGGCGTGCTGGTGTTGCTTATGCTACCACTCCAGGATTTGTTAATGAGATCACTCCTAGTGGCACTTCCCAAAATGACATTAATGTCATGGTTCAACTAGCTATACAACAAGCACTCCCAGGAGCACTTCAAACTGTCTTCTCCGCGACTTCTAAAACTGGTAATACTAAATCTCGGTATTTTGATTCTGCTGCGTTTAATCACATGTCCAGCCATCGACAAAATTTTGATTGCATAAAACCCATTCATAATATGTCAATTCAAGCTACTAGTGGACATGAGTTAAATGTGACGGGAATTGGTTCTGTAGTTGATTCTGCGTTAACTCTTCCACACACGTTGTATGTTCCAAAGCTCATTCCGAACCTTGTATCTGTTGGTCAACTAACCGATCATGGATGTCGGGTTGTGTTTGCCCCAAATGGTTGTTTTGTGCAGGATCTGAGGACGGGGCAGGAGATCGGTAAAGGTTCCAAAGTTGGTCGTGTCTTTCATTTAGAGAGTCTGTCAGTTCCCCCTTCCAAGCCATTATTGAGTTCAAGTTTGAGTTCTGTAGTTCCATTAGCTTTTTCTTCGTTGAGTCAACCATAGGAGTTATGGCATGCTCGTCTTGGTCACCCACATCATTCACGCCTTCAGTCTATGTTTCATTCCAAGTTATTACCAAATAAAGACTTGTCTATTGAACCTTCTCTTCCTTGTACAAGTTGTGTTCAAGCTAAAGTGAAACAAACTTCATTTCCAACTAGTACAACCGAATTTCATGATCCATTCCATTTGATTCACACAGATCTTAGTAGTCCAGCTCCGACTACTTCTAGACTTGGTTTTTGTTACTCGCATTATTCGTAGATAATGCTACAAGATATTCCTAGGTCTATTTTTTTACGTCAAAAATATTATCTTCTCCTAGTGACAAAAGAGTTTATTACCATGATTAAAACTCAATTTGGAAAAACAATTAAAATCATTTCGGATCCTGGCGGGGAATTCTCCTCCACTCCTCTCCATGTCTTCCTTAAGTCTCAGGGAATTTCAGTTCAACAATTATGTCCTGGCGTTTCTCA